TTTTACTTTGAGACAGGGTCCTGCTCTAAGTTGCTGAGGCTGGGGTCTCCATCTTTTGATCCTCCTCGCTCAGCTTCCCAAATTGCTGAGATTATAGGCATATACCACATAGTCTGGCTAAGCAATTTCTCAAAGGCAAAAATTTTATTCTTTTACTGTTAGCTACTTTTAAGAAACAGATTAAAATTTTACCCTCTCTTAATGTTATGCCAGTGAAAGAAAGAACTTGTAACCTACCAAAGGGCATACACACTTGATTCTAGATCCTCTGGGACCAAAGCCAGAGTTTTTTCCACAACATTGGGCTGCCTCCAGTTTCAGACACTGATCAAACTGCTATTCCCTACAATGTTCCAAAGTTAGTTACAATTTGTGTTAACAACTTTGTCCTTTAAAATACAAAATATCTCCTGCTTTCATTCACACCATCCTCTAAAATAAAATCCTAGAAACTCAAACAGCATGGAGATCAAAGTCACAAAGATTAATCACCCACCTAATAATCAAATATCTGAATAACATCCTGGACCATCACTTTAAAGTAGCTGCAATTCTCACATTTTCCTGTCTGCATCTGTTGGGACTGTAGACAGGAAAAACAGAATTGGTTTCAATAACAGACTATAACATAAGAGTATAAGGTTATAAGAGAGCCTTCTGGCTAAAACCTATCAGAATGTATGTGGATATAAAATGAGGCAGGAAAGCTACACAATTTTGCCATTCTAAAATGCCTGTTCAAAAACCATAATGGGTTACTTTTCACCATTAGGTATAAATAACAATCTATCAATATTCCACAGTCTTTAAAAATCATAACAGTGAAAAGCTGTACTAAGAATGAATCAATTTGGTAAGCAATATTAGAAAGTAAAAGGAAGAAACTTTCTAGTATATTTAATAATCCAACTTTTATTTACCTTTTATTCTATTATTTGGCAATTTATATGGTATTAGACTTTTCTTAAAAAAAATTTTTTTTCTTAGTTGTTGATAGATCTTGATTTATTTATACGTGGTGCTGAGAATCGAACCTAGTGCCTCACACATGCCAGGCAAGTGTGCTACTGCTGAGCCACAGTCCCAGCCCGCTATTAGACTTTTATAAGTTCAGAACTACGATTTTTCCTTCATCCTGAGGAGAAAATATGGAATACTTATCAGAAGTTAATTTTTTAATATTAAAAGAATTATTTTTTCAGATTAATGCCAGAGTTTTAAAAATTGATTTTAAAATTTCCTTGATAAGAGTGTGATCATCAAACATACTTCAGCAGGACATTCAGCTAATCTCTCAAAGCACGATAAACCAATTTTAGATTATTGTGATATGCCCATGATAGGTTCGTTTTTTTCTTGTTAGTTTCTAATTTTTCTTTTTTATTTTTCATATTCCCATTTTTAAGAGGATTTACACTGGAAAGGGGAATAAGCAGTCAAGATGATTTTATCAGTTTCAATAAAATTAAGCTAGAACAAAGAAGAGTATAAATAGCTTTGAGAAGAGTATATGAACTCAAAACTAACACATATTCAGCTTAGGTAAATCACTAGCAAACTGGCACACTGGCTCATGCCCATAATCCAAGTGACTTGGGAGGATGAAGCAAGAGAATCATAAATTCATGGCCAGCCTCAGAAACTTAACAAGATCTTGTCTCAAAATAAAAAATAAAAAGGACTGGAGATGTGGTAAAGTGCCCCTGGGCTTAAACCCCAGTATAAAAAAAAAAATCATAGTTTTCCCACAATTTGGTTGACTTTGCAGGATTTTGTTTTACCAAAAGTATTTAAATATACTTGTATATATTAAGTGGACTACATGCTTATTTTTTCCTGATCATACAATACCAAAAAATAAACTGCATTTTTAAAAATTTTTTTTTAGTTGTAGCTGGACACAATGCCTTTATTTATTATTTTTATGTGGTGCTGAAGATTGAACCCAGCGCCTCACATGTGCTAGACGAGTACTCTACCATTGAGCCACAATTTATATATGAGCCATAACTCCCATTTGCATAGCACTTTATGATTTCTGAAGAGCTTACAGATATAGCTCATTCAAGGATGATAACGTACATTATGATCACTATGTAGATGTGAAATCAGAAACACATATTAAGCCACCTGCTAAATCAACTAAGCCAAGTGGCACATGCCTGTAATCCCAGCAACTTGGGAGGCCCATGCAGGAGGATCACCAGTCTCAGCAATTTAGTGAGGTCCTAAGCAACTTAGCCAGACTGTGTCTCAAAATTAAAAAATTAAAAGGGCTAGGTGGCTCAGTGGTTGAACATCCCTGGATTCAATCTCTAGTAGTAAGGGGAAAAAAAAACACCTAAAATGGAAAAGCTGAGTTTTTTTCAGCATGCATTCATTCAACAAATACAGAGTGCCAAAACTTTAAGCTAGGTAGAGACAAAATCCCTGCTCTCTAGAAATTTATGTTTTAATGAAAGAGAGGCATAAAGAAGTTTACACGTAAAACAAAAAATTATTTCAGATAAATGCCAKAAAGAGAACATGGTATCAGACAGTAAGTACAGAATGGCAAGATCAGAATGGTCTAAGGAGTAGCACCTGAARAGCATATTGGCAAAGGAAAAAACAAGTACAAGGTTCCATAGGCAGGAAGTTCTTGAATAGCAAAGCAGACAAATATTTGGAGTGGAGTTTGTTTTAGACAGTGGCCCAATTACATGGATCCCTCAGGCCATTCTAAGAAGAGGATTTAAAATGCAATTGGAAATATATAGGTGAGACCTGATTTGTTTTCTAAAAAAAAAAAAATTAACCTTCTGTATGAGGAATGAATTGTAAAATCATCAGGAAGAGTTACCTCTCAAGCTTCAAAAATACCCATAATGGTTTATTTCTTGGATAATATTCCTACAGAATGGATACATGGGTGCTTGTTACTTTTGAAACCGTATGTATTTCCATAAATTTCTGTACCAAATTTCATAATTTTTTTTTCCAAAAGATTTTATTTATTTATTTATTTATTAGTTCTCAGCAGACACAACATCTTTGTTTGTATGYGGTGCTGAGGATCGAACCCGGGCCGCACGCATGCCAGGCAAGCACGCTACCGCTAGAGCCACATCCCCAGCCCCAAATTTCATAATTTTTTAAAAAGCAAATTTAAGAGATATAAGAGCAGAAGCAGAGAAATCAACTAAAATGCTGCTTAACCATCCAGAAATGAAGTGATGGTAACTTGTGTTAGGGTGGGAGCAGTAGGGGCAAAAGTAATGAAATTTAGAATATGCATTGGCATTACAGTCAATAGGGCCTTTCTGGATGTAGAGAAGAGGCAGAAACAGAAACCAAGGATGACCAGTACTTATCAATAAGGGGTAATTTTGCCCAAGGCATACATGCAATGTCTAAATCTATTTCGGGTTGTCACAASTGGTGATAGGCCAAAGGGGGATGCTGACATCTGTAGGGAGAAGACAAGGAAGCTGCCAAACATACTAGAATAGCAGAACAGTACAGCAAAACAAAGATTTTTCTGGTCTAAAATGTCAGTAGCACTGAAGGTGAGAAATCCTGGTCTAGACTGATTCCAACTTCTTCCCATTCTAGCATATCCATACCTCTATCAAAAAWATATATATATATTATATATGTACATATATATGTATACGTGTGTGTATAGAGAGGTTCTTACTTTCAAAACCTAAATAAAACTAAAATATACATGAAATAAAGGTTGTTTGGGGGGAGGGAGGTAAATTATATAACTCTGGTAAATTATGTTGACCAGAAGGCCTAACTGGTATCTAACTAATAAAACATGAAAAAAACAATTACTCATTAATAAATATTTGTTGGTCAGACAAATAAAAATATAAAGTTTCTGTTTGGCAATACACCCAACACTGCTTTTATAGTTTGTTGATATACTGTAGTCTAATACATTAACTGCTTTCCCAAGTACAAAAAAAAAAAGCAACTTTTTTTTTGGTACTAGGGGTTGAACCACAGGCTTTTTGCCACTGGGTTACATTCCTATACCTTTTTATTTTTTTAGATTAATTCACGGAAGACCAAAGTACCACAAAGTTGAAGAAGTTCATTTTACCTCATTTTGTTAAAATAGAAGGAAGTTTGGGAAACAGAATAAGAAACCATTGTGGTATATTCAAGTACGAACAGAATGACTTGTAAAATACCCTAACTTGTCTCTGGAACTACTGCTACTATTAATGAATAAAATATGCTCGCTAAGTTCTGAAAAGCAAAAATCTGAAATTATTTGGTAAATATATTAATAGAAATTTCCCCCGCCCCCCCCCCCAAATCAGTTAGTCCAGGGATGACAATCCGAACATGACCTTACATTTGAGTACACACAGATGAATGGGAAAAACAGAAGCCACAAAATCAATTCTGGGCAAGAAACGGATGTTAAATTATAAGGACCTCAATAAAAATGGTCAGGGACCCACAACCTATATCATCAATTCTGATTAACACTGATTTTTATAAGTAATCGCGTTTTCAACAGATAGTCATTGTCAGCCTGCTCATTCACTAACTTAAAAAACGTGGAAATCAGCTCGATAATTTATAATAGACTTCCAACCTCAGTTCATCCCCAGTTGTGATAAAACTCCAAAATCTTGACAGCCTAGAGGTAAATACAGGGACGCTTTACTACCCTGAAAATCATGCTGGGTTTCCACTAAGCCAGGGAGGCGTTTTCAGAAGCWTAGCCGCACGGCGTCCGGGGCGCGCTTCTCCCAGGCGCTCTCCGGTCCGCGGTGCTCTCGAGACACTGTTGCGTTGTCGTCACGCCCCTCGGCGTCAAGCCCTTCCTCGCCGATACACAGAATAACCCCTGGCGGAAATTTTTCCGCACTACCTTCCAGGGGCAGCGGCTGGTAAGCAACAATTACTCTTTTTCCTTCAAGTTTTCTGCAACCCAAACCCAACGGCCGCCTCCGCGCCAGTTCTACCCACCAACCCGAAGGAACAATTACCCAGCCTCACCCCAACAACGCGCGGAAAGGAGGCGCCAAGATAAACCATATTCTCGCGAAACTTTAAACCCAGTTCTCGCGACGCTCTCTGCTGCTCCTTCTTTCTCAGCCCCACCCCCCACGGCAGCACGTMGCCTCAGAAACATCGCGGGATTTCCATCTTTCAGTCTCCGCCCCTTTACGGCACGATGGTCGCGCAAGAATGTGATAGAAGCTCGACGGTCGCCATTTTCTTCCTTTCTTAGCAGTTWGCTGAGAGGAGGTCTCTGTGAAGAAGCGGCAGCGGCTCTTGTAGTGTAGCCATGGCAGACTATTCAACAGTGCCTCCACCCTCCTCTGGGTCAGCTGGTGGTGGTGGTGGCGGCGGTGGTGGAGGAGGAGTTAACGATGCTTTCAAAGATGCGCTGCAGAGAGCCCGGCAGGTAAGTCTGGATCGCACGGCGAGTTCCCGAAAGACCACRGTAATTGGCCCGCTGACTGTGTAGGCCGCTATCTCTTCCAGCGTGAGGAAGAGGAAAGAGGTGCTCTTCCGGGCTGAAATTTGAGAAGATTCACRTTGTTCTACGTTGATAATAGCGACCGGAGACCAGAACTCAAGTTTTGTGTTCTTAGCGTTGGAACTCCAACGCATGGTACTCCGAGATGGCATTAAGTCTCGCCCAGTTCTGCAGTACTAGCACTTCCAACAAGTTAGCTCAGCCTCCCCTCMCTCTTCCTTAGAACGAATGCCTTTTTTCATGGTATGAAGCGCGTGTAGTTTTACACAATAGGATGGAAGGTTCTGGTAATTAGTTTGGGAAAGGGCTAGGGTCCGTCTACAGGGGTCTCAGGTAGTAAGAGAAGGGATTTGTCATTAAAGCAGTCTTTTCAGCTTCCAGCTCTTTTGAGCTCTCCCTCCCAATTAAAGCAGCTTTCGGTAACGTTCACCTTCATTTCTACAAGGAAGCGATTCTAGAAAGCACCAAGCACCTTCCTTTGGGCGGGATTTGTGTGTGAGTCCTTCCTCCTTTCTCAAAATGGCCTCAGGCCCATTATACCCGCGGTTTCAATTTGAATCTGCCTCTCTGTTCAGAGTCGTAAATTGACCAGACCTCTTTGTATTACGTAGGTGCGTACATTTGCCCTGAAGGCACTTCTTTCCCAGGCTAAAGCCATTTTTAAAAATGGTTTTTGTGCTCCCGGCACCTGGAAGATTACTTAACTTGAATGTTCTTTTTAGATGTCCCCTGATGCGCTTATGCTTTAAAATATGTGATATTGGTGCGGTCTAGTCTCTAAACTAAGGTCGGAATATGTACTAGGTGCTAGGCATTTTAGACCAGTGTCAGGCGAACKGTAAGTGGAAACCAGTTTCCATGGTTAGGAGTTCACTTCATTAACTTTTTACCTACCAGCAGGATTGAGGCAAAAATCAAAATCTATAGTGAACAAAAGTTCATCATTAAAACTAGTTGTGCATTTTTTAAACTACAGAGTATTTTTTTAAAAAGCAGTTGAAACATTTATGTACCAAACAGAAACACTGTTAGCAAGTTTTAAATAAGATTGGGTTGGAAGACTTAGCAATCTTTATTAAAACTAGTATTTTGTGCCACACTATTCATAGACATARGGGTTTTTTGTTTTGTTTTTTTGCACTTGGTGCTGGGGATGGAACCTCACATGCCTGGGCAAGGTCCCTACCACTGAACTATATCCTCAGCCAGAGACTGGAAATTATTTTAAGGTGTGAATTGGATTCTCTCACTTTTTAGAATSTGTGATAGTCAGAGAACCAAAGGCAAGTAACAGAATTTCTGCATTTAATGTTTTCGTTTATACGCCTGTAGACAAAATACGGACACTTAATTCATCAGCTTGTTCTCATAAAGCATTTCTGCTGTGAGTCAGGAACTGTAAAGGAATACGGGATAAGGGGTTGTTCAAGGCATTGGAGAATGAGTTTGGCCAATAAAGAAAAAGCATCATGTGCAAAGGTATAAGGATTTTGGGAATGGCCAGAACCCAAGAGTGAAGTTATTGGAACATAGTATTGAGTGGAGCAAGGAAGGTGGAAAGAGGTGAGAAAAATACAGATGGATCAGATATGATAGACTTTGGGTTGCTAACAAGCTTGATTGTGGTAATAAGAAAATGGTGGTGTAATACTGCAGGTGTCCATCATATCTGACATTTCAGGTTTATGACCATGAACTCCCATAAGACCTTGCCAATAGTTGGTACTCAATACTTTCTGAGTTTTGTTTTGACAATAATATAGTCTTTAAAAATGCATGTTATTAGCTATATCAGATCCTGTGTCTACAGAAGTTGTATATCTTGTTGGTCTCCAGGCACATTTTTCACAAGTAGAATGCAACTATATTTGACCCAAATGCATTTTTTTAATCAAATATTTGTGGACCCTGCCTTAAATTTGAATCATATGTATGCTGATTTGTCATGATAACTAGCAATTTGTTGAGGCTATGCTGCATATTAAACTCAGAGCTAAACATATCTTGTTGATTAATTTGATTTTTGCCATCTTGCCACAGGTAGGTGTAGAGACTTTTTTACCATTTCATTATATGCAAATGTGGTAAATGACAGTTTTAGAAAGAAATAAGATCAGTTCCATGTCTCCACCAAAAACATAAGAGGCATGTAGTGGACTGAAAGTTGGCATTTAGATAGTTATCTTCTGAGAATTGGCTTTTTTAAAAAACTAACATTGGGGCTCAGTGGTAGAGCACTTGCCTAGCAAGTGTGAGGCACTCGATTTGATCCTCAGCACCACATAAACAGAATAAAGGTCTATAACAACTTAAAAAAAAAAAAACTAATCTGTTGAGTTTCCTATTGGCTTCAAAATTCTTGGATTTTAGGGATGGCCAGTGAAGAAGGTCGAAGTGCTTAAAACATACATATATGTATGAAAGCAGAGTAGAGTAGGGTCCAAATAGAAAGTTTGGATTATTCAATGTTATTATTAGTGCATTATAGCTATATATGATAGTGGAGTTCATTTTGATATTCACCTATGCATGGAATATAATTTATTGCATTTCAATCCCTATGCTTCCACTTTCCCTACCCTCCTTCCTCTCACTGTTCCCCTTTACATACTGGTGATCTGCTTATTGTATGCTTGGATTATTTTTGTATATTTTCAAAGTAAGAAGTTCCCACACTTAATGTATAGAATTGAGTATATCAGGAAGTTAGTTGGTTTTTAGGAATTCTATCTATTAAATTAACCCTCTTTGTAATAACTTAGAAAATATATTTGATCAAATCTCTTAATATTTATACTAAAATCTTTAATGTCTTTGTATTTACTCTGTTTTTGAGATATTACTGGTTCTTTAAGCGAACTAAGTATCAACTTTCATTTTCATATGCATAGTTGTAGAACTATTCCATGATTAGAAATGTTTAGTAAATTATGTACAAGTAAGTATTCTTTCTGTGGAAGTTCCTTAAAGTTCAAGGCGTGTTGCTTTGCAAATTCAGAGCTTTGTAAATGCCATTTACTGTTTAAGTTCTTAAAGTGCTAAATGTTTTGAGACTGAAGGAGTTCAAGTATGATTAGGGAAACTTTGAGGAAGGAAATAAGATTAAATTGTATGCCCAAAGATGAAAGTAGGCTTCTTAGGGGGAAAAAATGAAAAATGGATAAGGAAGTTTGCATTCATCAAAGCTTTAGAATCAGGGAAATCAAATTATGTGCCTTTTATATCATGCATTTCAATAATATACCCTGTGTTGTAGGTATTTGCATTTATGGATGAGGAAAAGGTAAATCTAGGAAACCTGGAAAGATAGTTATTATGTGGAATAYGATACATACTGGCTTTAAGTGATCCATATTTGATTTAAGACACCAATATCCTTGAATATACTCAGCCTCTCCAGTGTCCTGATTATACACAAATGTGAAGCAGTTGGATTAGTTCTTTTAATCTCACATCAGGATCTCTTGGGAATTTAGTCACCAACAGTTTTTTTTTTTTTAATTTTTTAAACATGGATGATTTCAGACACAAAGTTAAAATGATATGATTAAACCCTCATAAGTCCATCACACATCTTTAATGATGAGTATAATACAGAGTATTGTGGAGTTTGACCTTTGCCAGTAATAATAGTTCCATTTTTCTTTTCATAGAAGAATGCAATAAATGCCCATTGGCTGTGCCCTGTTTGTGACTTCAAGCTGGTATTTCTTACATGGAGTTGGTTTAGTCAAATAAAATTGTGTGCCCCTTACCACTTACTGTTCTACCACTGAGCCAAATTCCCAGCCGTTTTGTTGTTGTTAAGATAGGATCTTGCTAAATTGCCTAGACTGGCCCCAGATTTGTAATCCTCCTGCCTCAGCCTTCTGAGTAACAGCAATTACAGGAATGCACTGGCTGTCCCACTCTTTGTGGGTGGCAGAGGATACTGGGGATTAAACCTAAGGCCTTGTACATGCTGGGCATGCACTGTACCCCAGCCCTTTTATTTTGAGACAGGRTCTCATTAAGATGCCTTGAATTGAGATTCTCCTACCTCACCCTCTCAAGTAGCTGGGATTACAGGCACACATCGGACTGGTTGCCCCACTCTTAAAATTAACACTTATTTAAGAGAATGGCTTTTTTGAGAGATTGAACCCAGGGGTATTTAACAACTAAGGCACATCCTGAGCCATTTTTTTTTTTTAAGGGAGAGAGAGAATTTTTAATATTTATTTTCTAGTTCTCGGTGGACACAACATCTTTGTTGGTATGTGGTGCTGAGGATCGAACCCGGTCCGCAGGCATGCCAGGCAAGCACGCTACCGCTTGAGCCACATCCCCAGCCCTGAGCCATTTTTTATTTTGAGACAAGGTCTGGCTAAGTTGCTTAAGGCCTAAGTTGCTGGGGCTGGCTTTGAACCTGGGATCCTTCTGCCTTAGCCTCCTGGGCCACTGGGAGTACACCATCATGAGGAWAGCCTTTTAGAAAGAATTATGATTTTCTAGCTAAGATTTTCTTAGACTAGAGCTCCCTAGGCTCCAGCATTTATTCTTAGAATAACATTGTCTGGTGGAAATATAATGCAAGCTCTGTATTTTGTTTGACCCAACATACACAAAATATTATCCTTCCAATGTGTGTTTAATATAAACTTTTCAGATGTTTTATATTCGTCCATTAATTGCAGTTTTTCAGTATCCCAAGTGCATGTTTTACACTTACAGAGCATGCCGGTTTGGACTGACCACAATTTAAGTACTCAGTAACCACATGTGTCTACTAACCATTTAATTAACCACCATAGTACTACAGTCCTAGAAGTGGTCACATACTCTGTGATCACAAACATCTTTAAAAGCCATGGGGAAAAAATATGGAAAGATAGCATTAGGATCCAGATTTTCTTCAAAACTAGTCTTTTTCCTTAACGATGACTGATTTCAGCTACTTTGTTAATTCTTATATGGATGTATTGGAAGCTTCATTTCAGACCATGATTGGTTGTTAACTGTGAAGTATTAATAATATTGATAAATTTGAACTATGGTTTTAGTTTGCCATTGTATCAAGTGACTTTGCTTTTGTGAGCTGAATAATTTATAGTAGTTTGTGTTGCTATCCTTGGTAATGGTGTGTTTTTGTTTTTTAAGATTGCAGCAAAAATTGGGGGTGATGCTGGTACATCATTGAATTCAAATGACTATGGTTATGGGGGACAAAAAAGACCTTTAGAAGATGGAGGTAAGTTATAGCCATAAGTAATTTTAATTGTTTCAGAAAGCATTTAGTTGAAATTATTTTGAATATTTGTTATGATTCCTAAAATTGTAAGGTTTATATTAGCTTCAAAAGTAAAGTGGGGAAAGGGAGACCTAGACAAGGTAGGTAAAATTTGATTCAACTAGAAAGTTTTGTCTTAGTAGAAAACAAGTTGATTTTTCCCTCTTAGCATTGTGCCAGATTGACAGTTTGCACAGACTTCTCATTAATACTGAAAACAAAACTATAAATAGTTTAGGAAACACTTTACTGTTTTTTCTTATGTGAATGAATTTTTATATGCTGTATTTTCATCATTTTACTATTTCRGGTTTCATTTTACAGATTAAGGTTTCTGTAGTTTGCTACCCTGGTGTGCTTCTTGTAGGTTATAACACTTTTATGTTATTTTGTGTTTCAGGTTTATAATTTTAAATGTGGATTAAAACAGTGGATTTATAGTTTTCTATTTAAAAAAAATAATTGTTGAAGCTTCTGAACTTAGAAATCTGTACATTTTTTGTTTTAGGTTTGATTATAAATTTTGATACACTTTCTTTGGCCCTTTTTTTAAAGGAGGATTCTGACCGAGCCCATAGAATATGTATTTGTAGCTTTGACCAGGAGAACTTGGTTTCCTCTTATTTAAGTGTCTTTCGTATTTGTAGTGAGGTTTTTAATATTTTAAAAAAATGAGCTAATGATGCTTCAGATGTTGTATGTAATGTATTCTTTTTATTTTATGTGTAGATGGCTCTTGGACAAGTCCGAGCAGTACAACACACTGGGAGGGAATGCCCTCTCCTTTTAAAGGCAGGAATTTTTATTTATTACCTGTGTTTAGTATGTAAACGTGAAATAAACCAGTGGATTCTTAAATGGACACAAACTTTCTTTTGGATTGTGTCTGAATTTTTGCTGCACAACAATCTTTATTTTATGTTTAATCATTTAAATTTGAAGGGGGGAGGAGAAGATAATTCAATCAGCTATAGGTTGTCTGTTGTAAGGTATGCATTGTATTCATCTCTAATGGATTTAGATAAAGATAGTCATGTAGTTGCTTTGAATTCTGAAGTTTTACACAGTGAAATGTTTACAGATAATAGAACAGTTTAGATTGAGATTGCCTTGTAATGTGATTTTTTTTTTTCCTTTTTGAATCTAGTTTTGTGGTCACTGTCAAATACACTCAACTTTGGATATATCAGATTTTTACATTTCGATAGCCCACCCTCCCCCCACCTGGTTTTTAGTACCTACAGTGGAAGCATCATTAGCCAATAGCATGTGATGTTTTGCTAGTAATCAAGATACTTTGTCTTATATATCATTCTAAAGTGTCTTAACACATTAAGGTCAGTGATTTGATATAATGAAAGGTWTTTTTTATAATGTCTGTGCATTTTTTAAACACAAGGATAATGAAAGACTAGCTTTTCGTTAGATTATTGGGAGTAAGTTGAGGTTTGGCAATTTTGGTTCAAGTAATAAGCCATTCTACCAGATTTTTAATAAATGTTTATAACTATTTACTCTTTGGCGGGAGGCGCTTTGTCCTTACTGGTAAAAATTGAAAGACTCTTAATTTTTCAGATCAACCAGATGCTAAGAAAGTTGCTCCTCAGAATGACTGTAAGTATTAATTTAAGCTGGGTTTTAAAAGTACCTGAATTTTAATATTGAGGGCTTATTTCTATTTTTAGTGAGGGCTTATTTCTATTTTTAGTGAGTTTTTGAAATTTGATTGGTCTTTTAGAATGTGAAGCCTGAATTCCCTTGTAAATATATGCCTTTCCTTTATTTATATTTTATTCCTTTTAGCAGTCCTTATGGCCAGGCATATATAAAGATTGATTTCTAGGCTATTATAAATGTTATTTAACTGTTCTATTTCTTAATCTATGCTTGTATCACTTGGATAAGGAAAGTTTTGTGCTTTTTGTTAATATATTTGCCCTTTCACTGTCTTTCTCATCAATTGTCAATGTTGATTGAAATCATCTAYATAAAATTGTATTCTCTCCAGAATGTTCTTGCATTAGAATGTCTGATTTGATTGTTGTTAAAAGTAAAAATAAATTTTGAATTTTTATTTAATTTTTTGATAGCTTTTGGAACACAGTTACCACCGATGCATCAGCAACAAAGGTATAGTCAAAAGTTTTTTTAAAAGTACTTTGCAAGTGTGAATTGAACTATATGTACAAACATAAGTTAATGTTTAGTGAATATATGTCAATAGTTTTTTTGCATATGTAGTTCATTTCCTTCTATTGGGAAGAYGATACAAAGGGATGGGGTCTTTAGTTTGTTTGTTGTTTTGAGAGAGATCCATTTGAGATTTGGCAAAACAGGTGGAATAGATTACATTTTAGAAGAGCTAAGGTGAATTAAAATGACATTTCCTGAACTTCATCCTAACTCCTTTGCCATTCATGCCTTTAGACTATTCAGTTTACCATCTCTTCCTCATTTAATAGGTTTCACTTTATTTAAGATGCTTAATTTAACTATACTACACAAAGAATAAGACCATATTTTGCCAAAATTATGTGCTTGGAACCTTAGTTTAAGCCGTTAGGAAGCATTAGACTTAAATTTAGATTACCATTATATATAAACATTATCTTTTCTTGAAGGAAATTTTTAGTTACTCTTATTTCTTAGCAGATCTGTAATGACAGAAGAATACAAAGTTCCAGATGGAATGGTTGGATTTAGTAAGTAACCTATATTTAAGTTTTGAAAACATAAAGCATACTTTGTATTCTTTCGGCAAATAATTTTTCTTTTTTTTTAACTAGTAATTGGGAGAGGAGGTGAACAGATCTCACGCATACAGCAGGAATCTGGATGCAAAATACAGATAGCTCCTGGTAATTATTTTCTTGGTATTTTCAAAGTGACTAGAAAATGTGTATTATTTTTAAGCTGCTAGTTATAATGATGCAACTTGTTAGCATTTTCTTGACCTAAAATTTTATTTTATTTGTAGACAGTGGTGGCCTTCCAGAAAGGTCTTGTATGTTAACTGGAACACCTGAATCTGTCCAGTAAGTATGAAAATCTTAAGTCTACTTAGAGTAATAACATGAAGACTCTGAACTTTGTCTTTGCTCTTAAACTGCTTCAACACCATTGTCTTCCTCTCCCCTTCCCTGAAATTTAACTCTTCAAAATTTATACCTCATGTCTTTCTTGATTAGGGTTCACTCTCTGAGCCATGGAACACAGAAAATGACTAAAACCAATTTTGTATCTACTGCAATCTCTACTTTGGGGCCTGGAGAAAAATACATACAATCACACTGACTGGTGTTACATAAAACTCATAACCATTAAGCTCAACTCAAGTAGATCCATTGCACATTTCTTTCTCCTTTTTTTTTAATATTTATTTTTTAGTTTTCCGCGGACACAACATCTTTGTTTTGTATGTGGTGCTGAGGATCGAACCCAGGCCGCACGTGTACCGGGCAAGCACTCTACCGCTTGAGCCACATCCCCAGCCCRATCCATTGCACGTTTCAAATCTTCAGCATCGAACCCCTTCTTTCCTACCAAAGTTCATTTAGCAAGAACATAGAAACAAAATGTTAGGAAGTTTTCTACCTCATTTTTCCACTAAAACTTTAACAGTCTTCATTTCTACTCTATATGCACAGTACTCAGATACAGATCTTGCTTACCCTTACAATTCAACTGACTTTCTCCTGCATCAGTAGTTTTTTCCTTTTTTAAGGTAATTTCTAATAACAGGTTGAAAGTCTATCCATCTTAACAAAAACATCTTTGAAGCCTCACATTATATTTATCTGACTAGCAAAGGTCCCTTAAGAGTTGCTATGCTTAGGTTATCATTTATTCATTTTCATTTTCTCTTGAACTCATTCATCATTCCAACCATTCTGCTGAAATTTCTTTTTCCAGCATTACAGTGTGCCACCACTCCTTCAGTCTGTCAGCAGTATTTGACACAGTGAACCTCCTTGAAATACTAGATTTATTTGATTTTTGAGGCACCAACTTATCTGATTTTTCTTAGTGGTTCTGCTTTGTCTTCTAGGCCTTAAAACATGGAAATGCCCTAAAAAATATATCAATGCATGCTCAATAGATGACTTCATTTAGTCTTTTAAACTACATGTGATAAATGAGTTTATATGCCATGAGTTTTATATTTTCCAGCATTTTCAGTCCTTTTTCTAAATTGTCTTCATTCTTTTTTGGTCAGTGGACCTTTATTTTATTGATTGATAAGTGGTGCTGAGAATCGAATGTGTAAGAATTAATTAATTCTTACACATTCTAGGCAAGTGCTCTCTGCCACTGAGCCAGAGCCACAGCCCCAACCCCAACATGTCTTCATTCTTGAGGCCTCCTTTATCTGTTTTGTATGTACATGTACACATGCTTACATTCTCTTTGTCCGGCTTTGATTTTCTTTATTTTCACCTAAGAAATGATGTTATTTATTTGATATATGCTATTTTTATGGATTTAATGAAGTAAAATCAGATTAAGTGAGCAGAATTGTGATTTTAAAGTGTAAAGGGCTGGGATTTATCTCAGTTTAGAGCTTCTGCTTTAATATGCCTTAGGCCTTTGGTTTAATCCCCAGCACCAAAGGAAATTAAATAATTTAATTTTTTGAGGAATCAGCTAAATTCTRAGATAACTTTAGAATTTGAGCACTTCTTGAAAACTTTTGGACTGTTCTCAAAAATAAGTCATGTATCTAGAAATTTATTACATAGTGGTGACCCACCTGTAATTCCAGCCATGCAGACGGCTGAGGCAGAAACACTGGTTGCAAATTCAAGGCCAGACTGGCTACCTTAATGAAACAAAAATGGCCAGTTAGRGATAYAGCTCAGTAGTAGAGTCTTACCCAGGTGAAGGAAGTAAACAAAGAATCTAAGTTTTATTGCCAAGTCTCAATCTTGGCTCTTGGGCATTTAATTAAAAGTATAGTAAGTAACTTTGAAGCATCTATTAGAATAGGATTACTTGATATATGATGTCTSTTTTTGGGTAAGCTTGGGTATGCTAAACTTCATTATTTTATATGAATTTAACAGATCAGCAAAACGGTTACTAGATCAGATTGTTGAAAAAGGAAGACCAGCTCCCGGATTTCATCATGGTGATGGACCTGGAAATGCGGTTCAAGAAATCATGATTCCAGCTAGCAAGGCAGGATTAGTTATTGGAAAGGGAGGAGAGACTATTAAACAACTTCAGGTATGATTATATTGTAAAATGTTAARGCTTTTAATCTACTTTGAAGCTAGTTTTTTTCCTTTTCCTTTCCTCTTTTATTGACTCATAGAATTTTTATTATTTTAATAGGAACGGGCTGGAGTTAAAATGGTTATGATTCAAGATGGGCCTCAGAACACTGGTGCTGATAAACCTCTTAGGATTACAGGCGACCCATACAAAGTTCAAGTAAACTTCACTTTATCCTTTATTAAGGGGTTGGATGGGTTTAGACACATGAAGAATTAAAATGTTTTAAGACCAGCTTTTTAAGTCATCTATGTTTTTCTACTTTAGCAAGCCAAGGAAATGGTGTTAGAATTAATTCGTGATCAAGGTGGTTTCAGAGAAGTTCGAAATGAGTACGGGTCAAGAATAGGAGGAAATGAAGGGATTGATGTAAGTAAAGAAACCAATCAGAAATGGTTGTATGGTAATATATAAATATAGTAGTGTTTTTCCTGTTTGGGGTTAGATAGCCTTCTTTAACATTTTATCCCTTTTTTACTTTATACTTTACCAGACTGTGTTCTGTATCTTATTACTGTACTGGATATATATTTGATATATATCCTGTTGTGATTTGATGCAGATTGATTCTGGGGAAATTTCTTTTTTTATATATATATATATACACTTTGTTTTCTTTGCATAAGGTTCCAATTCCAAGATTTGCTGTTGGCATTGTAATAGGAAGAAATGGAGAGATGATCAAAAAAATACAGAATGATGCTGGTGTTCGAATTCAATTTAAGCCAGGTGAGTACATATATTTAATCTTTTAAGTATTGGTAACAGCTAGTTTGGAGGGTTTTGGGTTTTTTTAGTGGTGCTAGGAAGTGAACCTAGGGCCTTGTGCATGCAAGGAACAGCTAGATTTGACACACATTTAATGTTTAATTTCAATTTGTTTCTAAGATGATGGAACAACACCTGATAGAATAGCACAAATAACAGGACCTCCTGACCGATGTCAACATGCTGCAGAAATYATTACAGACCTTCTTCGAAGTGTTCAGGTTTGATAGAAAGTTATTATTTCATTTTGTTTGCATTGGAGAAGTATTTTCCTTTATATCTGAAAGTGCCCCTTATATTTTTGTATTATAGTCCACTTGATATTACTTTATTAATCACTAGAAAGTGTAAACTGCTTTAAGGGACTAACCTTGGAGCAGAATAAGTATCCTCCCTTATTCACCCAGTATAAAAAAAATAGAAGTTATTGTTTTTGTCAAATTATTTCTGAACTGGTCTCTAAATTTCTGGTTTGATAATAGAGAGTTGGGGAAAATAATTTTGTCATAGAAAAAAAATGTTCATTTCTATGCTGACTTCTTGTCTTTTCCCTCCTTAGGCTGGTAATCCTGGTGGACCTGGACCTGGTGGTCGAGGAAGAGGTAGAGGTCAAGGCAACTGGAACATGGGACCACCTGGTGGACTACAGGAATTTAATTTTATTGTGCCAACCGGGAAGACTGGATTAATAATAGGAAAAGGCAATGTATTAAAATTTTTTAAATATTTAACACATAACTTAGTTTTTCTGGATAGTATTTCTGATGCTTTTGTAAACAGGTAGCAATAATTTTTCTCTTTGGCTAAATTTTAATATAATTTCAATGAAATATGTTTATGTTAATGTAATAATAAAACAAATGAAGTATTTTATGTATACTTACAGAAAAAGAGTGGGATTTGATATTAATTGGCTCCTAGAGATAGGGGGACCAGAAACTTACTGGTGTAAGAAACTTGACTCATAGAGTGGTTTGGGGATATAGCCCAAACTCTATTAGTAGAGTGCTTGCCTCRTGTGCATAAGGTCTTGGGTTCAATCCCTGGCACCACCACCCCCCAATTTTTTTTTTCCCCACAAAAAAAGTGGTTTGAGTGGGTTTCTTTCTTAGTTTACTTTGTTTTTTCCTGAATCACATATTCTTAATAAGTTTTATGTGGGGCTGGGATTGTGGCTCACATGCATGAGGTACTGGGTTTGATCCTCAGCACCAAGTAAATGTAAAATAAGGATATTGTGTTCACGCATAACAAGTTTTATGTTTAGAAATGTGTTATAATACACATTAAAGAGTGTGTAATTTTAAGTGAACTTTAATACAGTTTTAAAAATGCTTCATGCAATTGAAATGTAGAATGAATGAAAATCCTACTAGAATATTGTCAGGGTAGTGCCCCCAAAATTTTTACGGCTATTTAATAGTGACCATTTTGTTTTGAATAGTATGTCTTATATCCTTTGAACTTAAAGTTAATATCTTTTGATTTTAGGAGGTGAAACCATAAAAAGCATAAGCCAACAGTCTGGTGCAAGAATAGAACTTCAGAGAAATCCTCCACCTAATGCAGACCCTAATATGAAATTATTTACAATTCGTGGCACTCCACAGCAAATAGACTATGCTCGGCAACTCATAGAAGAAAAGATTGGTGTGAGTATGCTTTAAATTTCTAATTTATGTAAAGCATTAATTCAGATGCATCATAAGAAAGTGTACCATTTCTAATCTAAAGTATAGGTTTCTTAATAGAAGGCATCTGGCAATGGAAATAATTAATAAAATATACAGTTAAAGGTGCTTACAACCACCTTACAGTTGAGTGTACTCAGATAAGAGATGTATTAGCTGCAGACACAGTGTTAGTTTTGGTGAAAAGTTGTGAAACATAGCTGAAGGGAGTTCGTAATGAAAATTCAGTGTTTGTAAAAGTCCTAAGTATATACCCATGCCTGGTGAGGCAAAAAAAGATAAATTCAGTGGATCTCCSACTTCATAACACAAGAGTATAAATTCTGGTTTTTGGATTGGATTGTAATCATACAGGTTTTAGAATGAAGACTATTTGTATTTYTTTAATAAGTTCTATGATATGGATAAGTGTATTCGTTCTAAAAATGAATAGTTCTGGACTCAGTGWTAACAGAGGTTTAATGCCAAAGCAGAAAATGAATAAATAGCACATTATAATTTTTTATTTTACTAACCTAGCAAGAGTGGGTCAAGATTTCTGTTGGATCCATGGAGAAATACACACTTAGAGAACCATTTYTGTATAATCAGTTTTTAAATTTTTTTAAGTTATAAAACTGATTATGACTTAACTACATGGGTTAAAAATCCCTTGACACAGTAACTGTGTGGCCTGAAGAAGTTATTCTGTGCCTGTTTCCTCCTATAAAATGAAGATAACAGTTCATAGACATGAAGAGATTAAAAATGAGTATGTTTCACTTAAAAATGCCTAGAATTTTGCCCTGTAAAATGTTTCCTTTTTTCTTTCTGTTAACTATTAATTGATGTGAGGGATGATGGCAATTAGAGGCAAGTTAATAAGGGGCTTAAAAGGTCATGAAACTGTTTCCCTGTTTCTTAGTGAGAAAGTTAACCAAATTAAATTAATACATGTCCAAAATGTCTCATGACTTGTTTTTTGTTTTTATATTTTAGTTGTAGCTGGATATAATACCTTTATTTTGTTTATTTCGTTTTATGCTGGGGATCGAACCCATGGCCTAACACATGCTGGGCAAGCCCTCTACCACTGAGCTACAACTCCAGCCCATGATGAGTTGGTATTAACTGAGAAAGGAGGGTTTTAGGCATTTAAATCAAATGTCTTTTCAAGTTGACTTGTCAAAAAAAGAAATAAGTGGGCTGGGTTGTGGTTCGGTGGTAGAGCACTTGYCTATGATGTATGAGGGACTGGGTTCATTCTCAGCACCATATATAAATAAAGGTCTGTCAGCATCTAAAAAAATTTTTTAAAGGGAAAGAAATTGGCTAAAGTTTAATTATCTGGCACAATATGGATATAAAAATTCTGGTTTATCRATTGTAAGTGGAATTTTCCTGCTATTTAGAAATGATATTTAAGAAGGAAAAAAGAATTCAATTKATCTAAATGGGATTCCAGGTACAGAAATAAAAAGGTTATGTGGCAGATTTTAGTTTGAGAGAGAATTAGTAAACTTCATATGTAATTTTATTCACATTATAGAATTTAAACATTTTGGGGGCATATCTCATCAGGATGGTTGTTGATTTAGGGGAGTAAAGATAGAGTAAATGCAGAAAAAATGGGAATAATTATCTGAGAAGTGTTTGATTAATATGGTAAATCAAATTGCAATGGAGATACAGAACTGTCTCAAAAGAATTGAATAGAAGCTATATCAGTTCTTGAATTTATTTGTTAGTGCTATTTTTGTGAATTATGTCTCGATATGACAAGTACAAATAYTTTGCAATAAGAATGAAGAAAGGAATAAAACTAAAATTTGTTACTGGTTTATATAAGAGGACAGAACTGTAAGATTATTTGGCCTTCGTGTTATTTTGACCACTCTTTTTCTGAATGTTTTGTGTTATCTTGGTTTTATTTTGCAGGGCCCAGTAAATCCTTTAGGGCCCCCTGTACCCCATGGGCCCCATGGTGTCCCAGGCCCCCATGGACCTCCTGGGCCTCCAGGGCCTGGAACTCCAATGGGACCSTACAACCCTGCACCTTATAATCCTGGACCACCTGGCCCAGCTCCTCAGTAAGTAGTACTACATTTGGTTCTCRACTTTTTTGTAAAGATTTTAAGTTTTGGTAAATTGTATTTTTATATTGATTTTCTTTTCAGTGGTCCTCCAGCCCCATATGCTCCTCAGGGGTGGGGAAATGCATATCCACATTGGCAGCAACAGGCTCCTCCTGATCCAGGTAAAGGAAAACATTATTTTTGTGTTATCTGTATCTGTCTACTATCCCTTGTTATACTCTTAAGTTTTCTGTTTGACTTCACATTTGCATGCATTGTGTTCACTCTTTGCAGAATATTAGGCATTGCTTCTACCACAGTRTATAAGACTGAAATGATTTCCACTTTCATGAAACTTTTTGGGCTTTCTCTACTTCTAAACTGATAAGAGTGCTAACAGCCAAAAGAAAGAAATACAGTGGCTTTGATTTTAGATACCAGTGTATCAAATGTTTATGGTGTGTTAATTGTAATTTGTCCACAAAAAAATTGTTTTAAGGGTCTARTAAAGTGTTAAATACTTGAGCTTTCCCTTCCCAGTTCTCAAATAAGCTTACATGAGCTGTCTGTGTTAGTATTCATAATAGGACAACTTAACATATCAGTAAAAATCAGGTTCATACTTAATAATTGCATGCTGGAACTCTAATTATACTTATTTTCTCATTCAAATCTGGATTTTTTTTAATATGCATTCTAGTCTCTTGATTTTGCCATACCATATAGTTTACATTTCATATTGGGCAAATAGGCATTCTTCAAAACCACATGTCATTTATAAATGATTTTTTTTTTTTAACTGCTCTACCTACTTTTTGAACATTTTCCACTGGAGTAGTTTTAAGAGAATGTATCCTGAATTATGGATTTCTTTATGCATAATGTATATTTATTGAAAGAAAAAATTAACACAATTTATTAAAATGAAATTGTTTAATTAAATTTGGATAAGCATTTTTGTATTTAAATGTGCTCCCATGTTATAAAATACCTTCATTTTATAGGAAGTTTGCTCTATGGAATCTGATGGCATGACAGTCACCAAAACCACAGTTTCTACTCACTTAAGGAACAAATTCACTTCTAGCATCTGGTTATACAAAGTTGAGTTTGCATAAATGCCCAAAGCTAAAGAATGTWCTCCCAGTGTAAGCAGCACTGTGATTGAAGGATTTACAGGGTACATACAGGTGTAGCATAAAAAAATTATTTGCTCTAGAACAGTCATAGTCCATCTTTTAAAAATTAAAAGCATTTTCTTTGGAACCTATTTKGAATGGTGTGATTACCAAGGAACAAGTCAAGAGTTTGAGCAGATTAAGGGGCACATTTATATATTTTGTCACTGCGTTTCAGGATTATACCTATGAGCACTGTTTTGGGTGAGTAGCATGATTAAAAAAAAAGATAGGAGTGAAAAGTGATCTTTGATTCATTGTCTCAGTTTCCCACGTGGAGTAGTAATGAAGTCCACTATAAATATACTATAAGCCCTAATCAATGAATATGACTTCCAGCATTGCTTTTGGTACATAAGTAACCCATTTAGCTAAAAGGTGACAGCTAGTTGGTTCGCCTCAGGTTTATTAGCTGTTCCTGAGTCTCTGGATTAGATGTTGCTTTTATTAGACTTATAGTTCTGTAATATTTTACTGTCAGTATTCTGTAAAATGATTTGTCAACATTTGTGTAGTGGTCGAACTTGGACTACAGAATTAAACAAATCTAGAACAGTACTAGTTCTGAAACTTAATGATTGTGGGACATTGAGGAAACTTTTGAACCCCTCTAAACCCGTTTTCTTACCTAYAAAATGATGATAAATGAATGGATGTTATGTTGAATGAATAGTTAGTTTTCAGTACATATTAGATACAGTAACTATGAGACTGGTTTTCTTTTTATGGTTTACACATGAAGAAGTATAAGTGTTGCTTGTTAAAGTTTGTTTTATCTGCCTGGCRCTGAGGTGGGAGGATCACTTGAACCCAGGAGTTCGAGACCAACCTGGGCAACTGAACAAGAACCCAGCTCAGAAAAAAAAAAAGTTTGTTCTATCTTAATTTTTCTATTCAGATATTGTATCAAGTAAAATATTTATATTTATTAGTAGGCATGCAGAAAATTACAGTATTGACATATCAAAGTGGTACATTGAGCACTTGGGAAAGATTTGGGGGKTGACTAAATACAGTATGTTGTAATTTTCTTTTTTCTAGAAATACTGCCCTTTTTTCTCAAGTTCCACAGTTGAGAATTGCTGCTGCTTTGGAATAAAGGCTGAACAAATTACTTATGGATATAGACTCTGGCTAAGGAAATATATTATTATAGATATAAAATAATAAAAARTATTTATATAACATTTTTAAYTTATTACAAAGCACAGAACCAATAAGAGGACTTCTGTTGGCTGACCAAAAGGTTTCAGACTTCACATCACATATCAGTTGATTTATGAGAGGTGAATGAAGATGAGCCAAGTGCAGAGGAGACTTAGGACAAAAGGCCCAATCATGGTGACTTTAGAAAAGTACAAACAATTTGTTGTGGCTASAACTTGGGTATTAGAGAGGTATTGACAAAAAAGAGATATGGGGCTAGAATAAGAAAGATAGCTAGATTTGTATCATCAAACATGTTGAATGTTGTGCTGTGCTTAAAAGCTTTGACCATCCTAAAGATTCTAGAGAATGAATACATTTCCATTAGGGCAGTAACATCAAGTTTATGACACCTCCTGTGAAATAGAATGAAATGTGGTTACTCTGTTTCTAAGATTTTTATTTCCTCCTGGAAAACAGGGCAAGACATGAGTCATAGTTCTAAAATAATCGCTTCCTTCTTATTGCCCCTAGAAATCTTTTTTTCCTTTAATCATTTTCCACATTGAACTGTTGCATTTGAGCTAAACTGGTTTAGAAGAACAAGGGCACAAGATAGTTTTAGATAAAGTACCGCGTTTGAAGCATTGGATCCAAGTTCATGTCTCAGTTCTGCTGCTCAAGTAATTTTGTAACCTTGAAAGTCTGTCACTAAGTCTCAATTTTCTATAATAGAAGCTAACAAAAATTAGAAAATTTGAAAGTTTCCATTTACTCTTTATTGTTGATTGGGGGGTTTATTTGTCAGAAAGCTGCATCTATGTGAGAGAGTAAAGAGATGATGGACTTTGGATATAAACCTTGAACCTTGTGTTTATTCCAGCTAAGGCAGGAACGGATCCAAATTCAGCAGCTTGGGCTGCTTATTATGCTCACTATTACCAACAGCAAGCACAGCCACCACCTGCAGCTCCTGCAGGTGCACCAACTACAACCCAGACTAATGGACAAGGTAACTATGGTAACTAAACAATTTATTTTGTATTTAAAAGTCAAAGCAGTCAAAATTATATATGAAGTGTATCACTGTATAATACCTAAAGTTTCTAACATTAAATTCAGTTATAACTTCAGTGTTATAGATTTTGCATTCTTAAGTTACTTTGAAATAATTTGAAACTTTTCATAAGAACAAAATCAGGAACACATAGATAGCCAAGTTATTGTTGTTTTATCCCCACCTACTCCATTACCCTCTCATGTATGTGTCCATGTTTATTGTCATCATTTCRTTATAGAGCCCTGAAAATTAGTCTCCCAATGTTAATATATCATTACTATCCCAATGTGCTGCCTTTATTTAGATTTCACCAATTGTCCCAATACTTTCTCTCCTGATGCAGGATCCCATTTGATAATATAATATACTCTCCCCAATCTGAAATTGTTCCTCATTCTTTTTAATTTTTTTTYCCCCTCTGTTATATAGTAGAGTGCAGACTTGTGTTTTGTTAAAAGATTGCCAATCTAGGTCCCTTTGACCTTTTCTTTTTTGAGATGGATTCTCGCTGTATTGCCTAGGCAGGTCTTGAAAACCTGGGCTCCAGCGATCCTCCTGCCTCAGCTTCTCAAGTAACTGGGATTACAGGTGTGCACCACTGTGCCTGGCCTATTCAATCTTTTCTGTTGACCATAAGGTAATGCTTACTTGACAAGAAAACTCAAGGAACTATGCAGTGATGTTTATACTTTGAACAGGAATCAAAATGTTTAAATCTTCCATATCTGGTGACAGTAAGCTTGACCATTTGGTCATATTGATTGATGTGTGTTAGGTTTTTGGGCCATGATACTACCATTTTTCTCTAAAATTAATTAGTATTTTCTGGGGTATTATATTGAGATTATACTGTTCTTTGTCAAACTTCTGTCAAACAGCCTTCATTAATAATGTCTGCTTTTAATACTAGCATGGTGATGATGATTTTATACTTGTACATTTATTGGTATTTTACCATAAAGAGCTTTCYCTTTTTATCCTATTTATATCCTATTTAGTTCTTTATATCAATATGGGTTCCTTTTGTATTTTTTTAAATCATTTTTTATTATTTTAATAATCAGATTGTCCTAAATTTGRCCAGTCAGTAGTATCTTCAAGGTGGCTCCTGTATCCTTTTGAGTGCCTATAATTCTTTAAACACTTTCTTATTTTCTGGCACAATAAGATGTTTATTTTATGTTTCCGGGCTCTAGCCATTTCTACAAAGGTTCCTGATTTCCTTTGGTGGAGGGCAGAAGGTATCATAGGTTAAGCTCAGGGGCAGTCTTCATCACTCAGCCACCTCCCCAGACCTTTTTTAATTCTTTGAGACAGGGTTTCACTAAAATTGAAGAGGCTGTCCTGGAGCTTGGAATCCTCCTGCCTTGACCTCTGGAGTCTTTGGGATTATAGGCAACACAGCACCATGCCTGGCATGATTTCCCTTTAATGAAGGATGACGTTTAGTAACCAAATTGAATA